GAACGTTTTTATTTCAAAATATACCTCAAAAGTTCAATCTAAATTATAAAAAACCTCTAACCAAAACTTGATTTGCTTTTTTATTGCTGCAGTTGGCCATTGTTCAACTTTGCATCCGTAAGAGCCCTCTCCAATGAGAGCTTTCGAGCCAAAATTATTGGTTAAATTATTTAGATCGACCAGCAAAAGTTGTTGGGCTCAGATGCGCAATGCGGAAGATGTAAATTAAAATATTAATGTAAAATGGTAATCAATAATCCCAATCCCAGCAACTCAAGAATGACAAAAGAAAAATCTCTTGCAATAATATCGGAATAATTCTTTTCTGATGTGGAAGTTCAGATTAAACTGCGACCACAGAGCATACTAAGAATATCCCAAATAAATAAATTATGCAAGAAATAAGACACCAAGATTTAACGTGGAAAAACCTCCAAATAGAGGAAAAAACCACGGGACAACCTCCAAATAATTCCACTATATTTTCAAGATAATTACAATATCTTTTCACACTCCCTTACACTAGAAATGTAAAATATAGTGACCCAGTGAGAACCCCACTCCTAAACAAGGAGTAATAGAGTTGATACCCAACCCGGTGTATTTGTCCCACACTCACAGGATTTACTCAAACACTCTATTTTTATCTCACTGAAAAATAACACTCCAGAAAATTTCTTTTCTGCTCTCTTTTTCTTCTCGCTTCTTGGTGCTTTTACAATCTGCTGGATGCCTCCTATTTATAGGAGTGAAATGGAATCAAATACAACCTCATTTTCTGATAAGGCTAATATTTAAATTATAGTTGGTGCATCTGCCACCACATCTTTTGTCTTATTTCAATAATGTTGGCTTTTGTTTAATTGTTTATGCCAAGTAAAACTGGCTGGATCTGACAATTCTCCCCCTCTAGCCAAAGGGTAATATTCTGCAAATCTTCACATGCAGTCCATGCCGATCAACTCAGCACAAAGATGAAGCTTTCCACCTGTTACAACTTTCGTCATCATGTCAGCAGGGTTTTTGTCAGTGTGAATCTTTTCCAACTTGAACTGTTGTTTTTCCACTACTTGACGTAGCCAATGATATCTGACATCAATGTGCTTCATGCGAGAGTGGTACATCGCATTCTTACTCAAATTCAATGCGCTCTGACTATCGCAATGGATATCGTACCTTTCCTGCTTCATTCCCAATTGTTGAAGAAAACTCTTCAACCAAAGCATTTCTTTGCCTGCTTCTGTCATTGCAATATACTCTGCTTCAGTAGTCGAAAAGGCAACAGATTTCTGCAATTTAGATTGCCAAGATACAGCTCCTCCTGCAAATGTAAACACAAACCCCGAAGTAGACTTTCTACTATCAAGGTCACTTGCCATATCCGCATTTGTATAACCTTCAAGAACTGGGTTTCCTTTGCCGAAGCTCAAGGACTTATTTGCACTGCCTTTTAGGTACCTCAAGATCCACTTCACAGCTTCCCAATGATCCTTCCCAGGATTGGAAAGATACCTGCTAACAACTCCAACCGCGTGAGCGATATCTGGTCTGGTACAGACCATGGCATACATCAAACTCCCGACTGCTGAGGAGTATGGAACACCTGCCATAGCTTCTTTTTCTTCTTGACTCGTAGGACAACTTCGTTTACTGAGTTTGAAGTGATTGGCCAACGGCGTATTAACTGGCTTAGCAGCTTTCATGTTGAATCTCTCCAGAATCCAATTCACATACCGTTCTTGCGATAACCATAACATCTTGGATTTTCGGTCTCGCATGATCTGCATGCCCAGAATTTGTTTCGCAGGACCCAAGTCTTTCATCTCAAAGGACTTTGCTAATTCCTTCTTCAGATCACCAATCAACTTCATATCTTGTCCCACTATCAACATATCATCTACATATAACAAAAGGATAATGATCTTATCACCTGGAAATTTCTTAACGAACACACAATGATCTGCATCAGCCTTGGTATATTCATGGCTCGCCATGAACGAGTCAAACTTCTTATACCACTATCGAGGAGCTTGTTTCAATCCATACAAGCTCTTCTTTAATCTGCAAACCATGTGCTCCTTTCCGGTCCTCTCAAATCCTTCTGGTTGTTCCATGTAGATTTCTTCATCTAGGTCTCCATGAAGAAATGCAGTCTTCACATCTAGTTGTTCAAGCTCCAGATCCAAGCTAGCCACCAATCCGAGTACTACTCGAATAGAGCTCATCTTTACAACCGGAGAGAATATCTCATCAAAGTCTATTCCTCGCTTTTGTCCAAATCTTTTCACGACTAAGCGAGCCTTGTACTTCAACAGCTTGTCCCCATCTTTCTTAAGCTTGAACACCCATTTATTCTTCAAGGCTTTTCTGCCTTCCGGAAGCTTCACAAGCTCATAAGTTTCATTTTTCACCAGTGAATCCATTTCTTCTTGCATGGCTTTTATCCACTGGGATTTATCCTTATGAGTCTGTACTTCTTCAAAACTTTCTGGCTCCCCTTCTTCAGTGATGGTAATATACGTGGAACTAGGGTATCTCGTTGATGGTTGGATCACTCGATTTGATCTCCTGAGCTGAGGCAGAGCTTCGAGGTCTTCTTGCTCGACACCTTCACCATCACCATCTTCTATTGTTGGCTCATCATCAACCCTGAGTTCTCCATCACACTCTCCCCCTACTGTGGCATCTCCAGGAGGTTTGACAGGTGAAAGATCCACCTTTCCACTTGGTTCTCTGATTTCTAGTGAAGCAGAATCGGACATAGTTTCTTGCTCATGGAACACTACATCTCTGCTTCTGATAATTTTTCGATTTTCTGGATCCCATAACCTATAGCCAAATTCCTCATCTCCATAGCCCAGAAATATACAAGGAATGGCTTTATCGTCAAGTTTTCGTCTCTGTTCCTTGCTTACGTGAGCAAAAGCTTTGCATCCAAACACCTTGAAATGAGAGTATTTAACATCATGTCCGGACCATACTCTCTCAAGGATATCAAAGCCCAAAGGAACAGTTGGAGATCGGTTGATCAGGTAGCACGCCGTTAGAACAGCTTCACCCCAGAATGGCTTAGGCAGCTTAGCCATTCTTAACATACACCTCACTTTCTCCAT